ATTCAGAAGACCTATGCAATTTTTTTCTTTTTGATAAACATACAAACATCATTTCTACAAGATTACCCAGCATTCCTTGCTGTGAAAATACTAGTCTGACGTAGAAGAGGGTGGGGCTTTTCAGAATACTTCTTTCAACACTGCATGGTATCATATAACAACACTGTTGAGTGTTATATAAGACTTAACAGTGGGCGGGGCTTATTTAACACTGTCAAGTGTTGAGACAATACTAAGGAAATCAACACTGAATTAACACACTGGAAGTCAGTTTACACAGAAAGTYMTAAAATAACACTAGAGGGAGTAAAATTGACTCTGAAAAGTTTAACACTGACATTTTAACACTCTGGTTTTTGCTGTGTTCCAGAATTCTGGATGGTTATAAATAAAGTTTTGTAATCTTTTTATGGCATAAAAACCCTTCTGGTCAATAAAGCTAAAGTGTAAAAGTGAGTTTGCCATTTAATGTACATTTAATATTTAGTTTTTATTTATTTTTTTAGTTAAAGTCTGTTCAGTGGCTCATGAAGTAACAAAGACAAATGCAAACAAATGCACAAAAACTCAAGCAAAAACATTATCGCTCCATCTTTGCCTTCAGAGCGAGGTGATAAGAAGAAAAAAAACTGTCAGGCTGATGGAAAAGTGCTTTTTATTTTATGTATTTTATAAAAGCACGGAACAGAAAGCAGGAAAAGGGGCCATTCATCCAACTAAAACCATTGTTTTTAAACAGAATCCAATTTAACCTTGCAGCATTTCTAATTTRATCTCCAACAGAACCTGGATTTCTGAGGCCTTTTACTCAATCTGCTTCCTTCCCTTCCATGTTTTATCTCTCTCCGTCCCTCATGCTCACTTTTGACAGCCAGTGTAGCTCCTTTAATGGGAGCTATCCCCTCATTAAATACTCGCAGGTGTTCAAAGCGCTTCAGCAGAGAAGAAGAGACAAAAAAGGGGAGACGGAGAGCGCAGCGGCTGCTGTTGTTCAGGCCCTTTTTCCACATGACATGTAGCAGATTCATGCTGCTAAACGTGAATTCCTAATGTCTCCTGAGGCAACGGAGCAGATCACAGGAGSCAGGGGTCACGAGGAGAGGTTGATTTCACTCTTTACCACACAGACTAAAGGAGGACAAAGTCAGGATGCTGACAGATGTCAAAGAGGGAAGAAGGAAAACGATGGCGGTAAAAACAGGAGGGAGAGGGGCGGGGAGGAGGAACCTAATGAAAATGATGTTCAAAGTGGGACGCAGCAAGACATGAAAGGAAAACTGAAAAGAGGAGCAGGAGATAGGGAATGAGAGATAAGATGGAAAAGAGGGAGAGATAAGAAGAYGAGGAGGAAAGTCGGGGCGATCTGGGCTCTGGGGTGAGGGGGGCTCTCTCAGATGCAGGACGGGACCATCTGGACGACGGCAGAGCCAGGTCTCTGACAGTAAACACTGGGCATCACTTTCACATGGAGTCAAACCAGGGATGGAGATTCACCCAAATTCAACCAACAACCCACCCAAACCCCGACTCTGCCAAGTGCTCTGCTCACTTCCACAACCAGACCTTAATATTGGCCGTTTAATCGCCGCAAAACAAACAATTCTTTCAAGACTAAGCCTTTAATTTATTTCCTATAAACTCTAACTGAACAGGAAATCTAATAATAATAATAATAATAATAATAATAATAGATTATATTTGTAACGCACTTTATATCTGAAAACAGATCTCAAAGTGTAACAATAAAAGTGGATAAAAAGGATAATAAAAGAGATAGAGGAGAAGTTAGCTATAAGTTTGTTGGAATGTATAAAATCTGCTGCATAAATCAGGTTTTACTGCTTTATTGGCAGAGCTAGCTAACTGCAGCGCTGTGACAGATTTCAGGAGGAGAAAATGGCCACCGAGGACTTGAACCGGCAACCCGGCATCACCTCCTGGAAGAGTGGGAATAAATTTGATGATTAAGAAACTGATCCCCGCCTCCTGCTGCTCGCCGTCTCCAGCAAACAACTTCATCCTCAAAGTGATGTCCCAACGAGACACGCCCGCGCAAACGCACACAACSATTTTATGAAACGCACACGGCTCTGCCTCCCCCTTCCATACGGGTCTGTGGAGGCAGCGCTGCCCCTCCTACTCCTCTGTCAATAAACCCAGTTTGGAAACACTTTAAACAGACTAACACACAGCACCACAACAACAACAACAACAAAAAGAGGCAAAAACTTCCAAGACGTGCTCTCCTCCACACCCGCTGGGTTAATTAGAATTGTTTTAAACAGCTAGTGCCACGCTTTTTAAACATTTATGTGTGCATGCATTACAGCCGGGGCATTAACATATCCAGAAAGTTTAACCTCTTCTCTGCTCTCTGAGTCTGAGATGAGAGGTGGAGTTGGGGGGCGGGGGGTGGGATGGGAGAGGACAGTTGACCTCTGCTGCCCCCTGTGTTGCAGCTGAAAAACAACAAGCTATTTCTTTTTTTGTATTTCTTTTTTTTTCCGAAGCAGCAACCCGCTCCGGATCAGAGGAATCAGAGCCAAGCCACCATGCAGGCAGAATGACAATCAGCCTGTATGTTAGTGAMGAAAGAGGGATCTAAACCCAGAGGTTATGTAGCACCAATAAAAAAACATACATAATTCACTGACAGACATGGAAATGATAGTTGTAGTCTGAGCCAAACAAAGCTGCTCTTACAAATAAGGATTTAGTTACTTTAGCAGTGTTTTATCCTTTCTAGAATRTAAACAAATTATACCACCTCAACTATAAAAAAAATTAATCACGATTAATATTGTGGAAAAAATATGCTTTGTTCAAAATGGTATGTCCAAATAAACACGAATCCGATGGATTTCTTCTTTAAAACTTTATTTTCAATCTTCTGACTCCAATCAGGTTCACAGTACAGCACACAGGCCTCAGACCTTGAGCTAAATCAAAACAAAACACAGGAGCCCGGCTCTAAAGCACACACTCTGCACAACACTGACAACTTCTTCTTACTATAATAATGAACTGACCTTATAATGTTCATCTCCTCCTGGTTACATCCCTGGAGGTGTTAGCTTTTACGTCAGACGTCAGAGCGTAACTCATTTTTGTTTAGACTAAAGAAAGAACACATAAGACACARCAACTSTTTGTCTGCTTTAACTTAAAAACTGAAATGATCAGAAAGTATAAAATACAAAACTGCKTCTAACATTCAATTAATCAGTTACAAAATTTCCTTCAATTCCCCCTCTTTGACATACATAAAATATGTCAAATAAAACAAAGGAAATTTTATGAAAACTTTATAAAGAGAAGTTATAACAAAATTATTCACGATTAATATGACGAWTAATAGATGGTGATTAATAGATGACAACTGCTATTGCATGTTTGACTAAATCAGTCACCCTGCATTCTAAGATTATACTTCTAAATCAGTCAAACTAACTAACAGATAAAACAGTAAGGTGTTAATTAAAACCCATCTTTTCCACAGTGTTGAGTGGCAGCAGATCTTTTGTTCATGTCTCACATGGAGCTTGGTAGTGCGAATGCGTCGCACACAAAAATGCATCATCAGAAGGCACTGATTGCCAATTAAAGTGGCAAATAATTGTTGATGTTTTACAGTTTTTTGCAGCCAAAATAGTTTTTCCCAACCCTATGTATGAGGGCCAAAATCATATACTAAACTTTGAACTTAAGGCTGAACTGAGGCAGCAGCATGCGTGGTAGATCTGCACATGGATCCTGCTCCTTCCTGTCTGTTGACCAATAGGAGAGGAGCTGACCCAAGAAGCCCTGCCCACCTTATTTGCATAATGAGGTAAAAATGCATAAGGTAAAGTAAAAACAGGAGACAGAGAAATGTAAAAACACATGGAAATAAAAAGACTTGTAGGAAAATTTATATGAAAAAAATAATTAAATATAATTTAAGACACAA